ATCCTGTATATCGTCTGCATTCTCTATGACGGCATTATGTGAGAGATCAAAAAGGTAGTTTAATTTGCAACATATTTCGAATTAATATTGAAGAAATGAAGAGAAAAAAAAATTCAAAATGAACTTAGTCACCCGATAGTAAGCCAGTTAAACTTGGTATAAGAAGCACAAGAATCAGGAACGTCTTCATTTTCATTCAATTTGACTTTGACTTTTTGTGTTTTTTAATAAAAATTTCCTAAATTGAGCACAAATTTCCTTGAAATTCCATAACAAACATAGACACTTCAAATTAAATTTCGACTGTGATACTACTGACTCCATATAAATAAAAGAACACGCCAAATTCAAACACACCCAAAATTAATCTCGGTTAGTAAAACATAAAAATTTGACCTCAAACACAACGCAATGCTATTTCGGTGTGTTCTTATCAAATATTCATACAAATACTTATCAAAAATGCATTCTTTACACAAAGAAGAAAATGAAATGCTAACGCCAAGTTTCACACTACGAATTATTTCAACTTTGACTGTCGCCTGATTGGAAGCAAAAACAAATTCAAACTGAATGTGTGAGCAATATTTTTTTTGATTGCATTCGACTCGTTCAAAATCTCCTTTTCCCCAAGAAATCGTATCTAATGTAGAAGAGATTGGGGCAAAAGAAGAACACCATTCAAGAACAGTAACAGCAATGACATAAGAAATTTAGGATTCAATTCAAGCCTCGATTTCATGTATTACTTTACATTAAAGCCGTCAAATGACTGCTGCTAGCGACGTCTCACTGCGACAACGTTAACTACAGTATACACAGTGCACTTCTTCTTCTTCTTCTTAACTTATGCCACTTTTTTCTGTTGTGAGTATGAAGCTTACGTTATCGCAGTGAGATGTCGCTTCAGCACCATATGGAAAAAGAAATCAAGACTCGATTCAATTCAAGTTAGTGAAGTTCAAATTGTCGAATGCAATAGAAAAACACAAAAGTCGAAAAAAATTATTTCAATTTGATATTCATAGATTGAGTTCAACTGAAGAAAATTCTAAAATGTCAAGCGTTCTGATCTACACCGAAGTTCCCATAATTCGGTCTGATATGGTGGCGGTCGGACAGTTGATAATTAATAGATAGAACGATGCCAAGCGTAAATATGTTCACATACACAGAAGCAGTGCTTTTAAAGCTCATACCAAAGTAACAATAGCTATAAATACATTTGATCCGCAATACATATGCATGGAAGTGCATTTTCACTTGTTCTAATTCCCAAAATATGTCTCTTTCACAAACTTTCTGCAAATGAGCACTCTTCCAAAATGAACGGTGGACTTTTAGTCTAAAAATTTCCAGTTGAAGGTATTATTCAAAAGCGACGGCGCCAACGCGAAAATGAAATCGGGTTAGACGAAGTTAAAAATCGATTTTTGTGGGAAATATCAACACCTTTGCTTGAATTAGACGTTAATTCATCGTCTCGTCATTAGTAGATGATGATGAGCTGATTTATGAAATACTATAACACCACGATTTGGTGTGACCACGGAAACATATTTTCATTCCATAAAGAGCTCGTCGACGGTCAAAATGATAATGATAATGAATGGATAGCGTCCAGCAATTTACGAAAAAAAGTACACTTTAATGTGATGAGAACCCTTTAATTTGCGTTTATATTATTAACGCGAACAAATGAGTCCAATTTTAGAACGTTTCAATTTCCCACACACAAGTATCGTAAGCGCGTTAAAAAAGAGAAATGTGAATTACTCACAATATTGCTTTGTTGGCATGAAGATTTGATGACACATTGACATCTTATGCCAATGTCTAGTATGAAAAAAAAACGAAAATCTTCTCAGATGCATCAAAAGTGTTGATAAAAAGCGCCTCCAATTTTCAAATATATTCCGTACAAATTTTGATAATTATTTATGTTAAACTCCTGAACTTAAACACAAAATTGAGGGATAAGAGACAGTGTTCTGCATGTAAACTCAATTAATCGATCGAAAGTGTGTAGACTTGGGCTTCAATGCACACAATCCATAATTTGTCACACACTTTTGATGGCATTAAAAAATATCATTGAATGATATTTTCAGTTGAGTTGAGGATTTTGAAGGGATGATGCGTTTGATTTTTATCAGCATGTCTTGCAAAGGAAACATTTTTTCTCAATCCAAGAGTTTGAGTTAAAAAAAACGTGTAGGAAAAAACGCTTTAATTCATTCACAACATTTAATCAAATCAATTCAAAACTTGAAGAAAACTCAATTTGGACTTGAATTAAAAGTGAAAAAAAGAACGAGAAAAATTCCGTGAAAAAATTTGTCTTTGGAATCAATCGAATTTATTTGATCATTTCCGTGAACAAAAGTTACAAAATAATTAAAAGGCTAACTTTTGACGTGACAAAGAAAAGAAAAATGAAACCATTAGCCACGACACAGCAAGTGTTCAGGTGGTTCTGCGTGTATTCGGCTGATGAAAACACCAACCAATGGGCAAAGGTTCCACATATCGTTTTCACCATTGTCATTGGCATATTAGAAGTGTGTGCTATAGCGACATCGGCAGCTTTCATCAACAAATTTGTGTCAATCGATTTTGATTCACCGCTTTTTGCATTCCTCCAAGTTCTTGGCCACACCGTTGGCTTGTACGGACTTCTATTCACTTTGGTTTTGAGGCATGAAATTGCGACGATTTTCAGGCGATTGTCGGAGATATACGATGAAAGTAGGTTCTATACTTAGCGATGCACGTCACCAGTTAATCGGCTGTTACACAGTACATTTGACCAGTTGCGACTTCGGTCAAACATTCGTTGTTGCGAATATGCATCAAAGCATACTGTGACTCGTATATATGGTTTACCAGTTACAACGTGTGTGCACAGCGCGCGAACTGAGACGAAGCACCACTTCGTGAGAAATCACGCGCCATGCACACACGGTGTAACTGGTAAACCATATACACGAGTCACAGTATGCTTTAATGCATATTCGCAACAACGAATGTTTGACCAAAGTCGCAACTGGTCAAATGTACTGTGTACCAGCCGATTAACTGGTGACATGCATCGCTGAGTAACAGATTGAGTTGATTCAAGGAAAATATGAACGAATTTCATGGTTTTTAAAATAAATTGAAAAGTCAATGCCTAATACCCAATGCCCATTGCCCATTCCAGTTGATCCATTCTTAAAATAACAGCCAATATTACATGCTCTAGCTAGAATTTCACAGTCAGAGCTAGAATAGACGTATGCGTGTTTATTGTGCTTAATTAAAAAAATGTCCATGCAGTGATGAAAAACGAAAATGATTTTTTCCAATTTTCCACCCACCACTTTTTCACCGTTTATTATTACGTCATTTATTAATTCGTTATCTAATGAAATCACAATATGACATTGTTTGACCATAGACACAGACGAGGCGTCACACCGACATTTAACTCGGGCAAATGACATGAGTGAATGGCTGTGGAAAATGTACTTAATTTACGTAATGCTGGGATGTTCCATCAACATATTTGGCACCTGTTTGGTTTCGACCATTTGGTGTTTTCACATTTACGGTCATTTCGAAGCGGATTTTATTTTTCGGCCGTACAAAATGGTGTAAGTTGCACTTGAATTAATGTTAATTGAATTCATGATTTACAGTTGCACTTGAATTCACAAGTTTTCGACACGGATATAGTAACAATATACCAGTATCAAGTCAAATTTGGTATGGAAATCGTTATCACATCACATTATTATTGGTATCAATTAGTTTCAAAATCATCTAAGTTTAATCATCATCGATTAAAAACTATATACTTTCTGATCAGTTTTCCATGGAGTTTCCAGTCACCGCTCGGATATTTCGTGGAAGTTATTTACGACGTTATCATTTCTGAGGCGTATTTCATTGCTAATGGCGCACTAATTCTCTTGTTCATTTCATTGTGTGTACATCATCGAGCCTTTCTTCGCTGCTTCAAACTCTTTACATGCAAATTGGATCTGATTCAAACTAATGGTCGGAAAAAATCAAATAAAAAACCAGACGACAAGAAAAAGGCGCTGTTCGAACTGATTCGCTTTCACGTTTCGATCAAAAGGTAATCTTCCCATTTTCGAAGAAGCGATGAAAAAAAAATTGTTTAAATTTGAACCGAAATGTTTCATTTTCAACGATTTCCTTAGTTTTTTCCTGGAATCCGCTCAGGTGTACAGTCCACACATTGCCGTCGTATTGATTTTCAGCACATTGATGATGGCCTGTGACGTTTTTCACATCGATCTGGTATTTGGTTTGGAAAAGAAAGCCTATTGGTTAGTCGAATTACTGGATAACGACTTTTTTCTCCAAATTTTTTTAGCAAATCAAGGATATCGACTCCCGAATAATAATCGTTTTGATTGGATTTTTCTGTGGCCTATCCAATTTATTCGTGTACTGTTATTTCGGGAAGGTGGCCAATGAGAGCTTTTCCGAAATGAACGATTGTTTATACGAAAGCAATTGGCATAACCTTCCGCTTGATTTACAAAAATGGCTCCCGCTTTTGATCAAAAACACACAAAAACCGATTTTTTACCATGGGTTTGGTGTGGCGGTGTTGCAATTGGAAACATTACAAAAAGTGAGTTGATTCATTCGAAGAATGATGCATTTTTTGCTTGCATGATTGAATCAATTTCATTCAAACATTTTGAAATTGATAATATTTTGTTTATTTGAAAGTAATTCGAAGAAGTCTCTTGCTTTCAGTTGTTGAAGACAGTGTTTACTTATTACATGACACTTAAGGCCACAACAACTCGTTGAATGAAGGATGGATTTGAAAACGCATCGAAAATATGAATAGATTATATTCGTTTGATTTTAGTAGGATTGCTTGAAATTCAGTTTACATTTTAGTATCTTCATTGTATTGAGTGTCTTATTTCCGGAAATAAAAAAGTTTGATTGTCATAATGCATTTTCTTCAAATCGTGCGAGATCGATAGCAATTTTTAGGAAGTTTTGATTGAACATGAGCATTTTTCCATCCATTTGAGCCATCAATATTGATTGTAACAAATCGCATTCACTTTACCTTGCAACTTTAGTTCCATGAAACTGCAGCTCTAGCCGCATAATTTAGCATTGGATAAATCGATAAAAGGATATGACTGACAATTTTTTGGGCTGCTTTTCTGTCCACTCGAAAAAAAAACAACTTTTTAAATTCTATTATGTTGACGAATGGAGCAAAGAAGTAAACTCCAAATAAACGACAGCAACGGTTTAAGTCATTTATTGAGTAATTGCTTAAAAATAGCCCATAAACCTATTATTTTCATTTCCCTCTGTCTTTTATTCGTTTAATTTATCTATTTTCACTTCAGAGTATAATCACACGGAAGGGAAACAATGAAATTCACTCTATAAACAGTTCCAAACTATGACCAAATGGCCAGTGGTTTTATCAATGTTGACACAAACCGACTGGATTATGACAAATAGCATTCTTGATAGCCGAGGTTAAGCTCATGTCACATCGTACCATTCACTTCAAAGCTTTGTGACATGTTCATTTGTCCACAATGTATGGCAATCTTTTTAATTTTCTTTTCTGTTAAAACAAAGTATTTGTCGATTTTTCATTTCCTGCGAATTAACAATCCAATTTTCCATATTTGAAGATACGAAATGAAAAAAAAAACGAGATGATTTTTCGATTATTTTTTAATTTTGGAATAATCTATGTTTTGTCAATACAGCACCTAATTTGAATTTAAAAAAAGAAAGGAACGAATATTTGAAGTTCAACAATTGAATCAATTGTTTCTAGTTGTTAAAAACTGATAATGTCCATAAAAATGAGAAATCTAATGATAAATTCAAATAAATTTTAGTCTAGAGCTAATGAAATGTTTAAACACAGTCAGAATAGCAGCAAGTGCACATTCAATCACAGCTCACACTCTTCAAATAATTGTGCGGCAGTATCTTTGATGTTATTTTCCGGGTTTTACTCGTTCCGTTATTCAAATTTGCCTCTATTATCGCTTTGCAAGCGATTAGAATTGGATGATTGAAGTATATAGCATACGAACTGTGCACAATCTCAATTTTTTTTTTATACAGTTACTGTATGCAAGGTCAGCGGACTTACCATAAGTATTATCAGAAGAAATTGAACACAATTCCGTTTGTTTTTTATAACACGAACTCAACATTTAATCACATTTGACGTTTCTTATTACAATTCATTTATGTGGAATGATTTTATTCAAAGAATCTATCGACTTTTTTTCTTACAATTCAACAGCCTCGTCATTAATCATGGAATGAATGATTTTAATTAAAATTAGCAAATAAATTTCATACAATAGAGATTCCTTTTTTCTTTTGGTCTTTTCTCCATCATAGGCTATTAGCCATTAGTTAGTTTCTGCTTTTCTTCAATTCCTCAATGAGAAATTTTCATTTGATTATGATTAACACTTATATCTATATAGAAATATCAATGATGCTGTCTAATGTCTATAATAATATTTTTCAGATGTAAAAAAATCAGTTAAATAAAATCACTACAATGAAAAGACATTTCCATTAGTTTATCCTCACTTGAGTTTCACTGAAATGACTCCTGTTTACAAATTAATTTTTTTTTATTCACTTAAAAAATTCATTAAAAAAATTCATATTTCATTCGATTATCTGCAATTTTGTTCAAGAAAATCGTTGCTTTGAAAAAATGCAGTTAAATTCATCGCAAACAAAATTTGTAAGAGAAAGTTTTGGTTTTTTTCTTCTTGTTTCATTCATTTCACTATTCTTCAATGCGTAAATTTATTACATCTTTACATTCCGTTGCTGTCACCGAATAAGACACGTCCAATCTTGGGATCTCAGATCGACTTTTTTTGATTGCTTCCTTCATGTTGTTATATGATAAGACGGCGGCGAAATAAAAAGCGATGAAAAATACTGGAAAATAGTCCAAATTTTACAGAACACTTTTCATTTTTGATTGCACAAAATTCGGGAAATTCATTAAAGCAAACATAGAGCAAACATTGAAACTGACTCTTCCAAATAGTGTGTTATAAAACTTTGTCTCACTAGGCTTTGGTATGCGCTAAATCCATCACGCTGAATAAATTCATGCGATAAGTCTATTGCTCTTCAGTTGTTCACGCATGAACGTTCATGCTTTGCAGTGAACGCATCGCTAAGTGGTAGTGAAGAGCAACATACCTCGTTCACCGCAAAGCGAGCGCATCACATTTATTGCATAAATCTATCGCATGAATTTATTCAGCATGATAGATTCAGCGCATAACAAAGCCTGTATCTCACACACACACATTGTGTCGACTGTCACACTGACTCGTTCGAGTGTAAATTGTAGTTAGAGTGAAAGAATTGTTGTTCGCAGTAGATTCAGTTCAGATGTTCTTGAGTTGAATTTGATTTTTTTTCTGTTTTTAAATTGAAATAAGACAATTAGTACCTGTCACAGGATAGATTATTCCTTGATCCCTGTGGAAATGTGATGATTTGTATTTAAAATAATCGGAAACTCCTTTGAATAGGACGAAAAATACGAAACCAATCCATAGACTCAGTGGCACCGCCCACCTATTAAATTATGGGACGGAGAGTGTAATATTTACAAGTCATACTCTATTATACTTTGAACTCACCAAAAGAGACTAACTAGCATCAATCCAGGCTTTTTCTGCAAAAAAAAAAGAAAAAAAAATTAAACATTCAACGATGTTTGAGATATGCTTTTCTTTTGTTTAAAGGCACTACTTCCAAGGCGCACGATTGTTCTCATATATGGAGACCGTCCACGATCGTATATTTGCTATTTCCAAAGCAACGATCAATAGACGATTCCAAAAAGATCGTACACGATTGCAATCGTGCGCGTTGAAAATAGTGCCTTAAGATGATTTGAATCGATTATTTTTCCTAAAACGAATGAAATAGTTCCAGAATTTTATTTCTTCTGAATTTTTTTTTGGATGAAAATGAAATCACTAAAACTTTTCAATAGAAAACATTGAAGAAAAGTAATGATAGAAGGACAATGTGATTTTCATTTAGAGTCTCACTTACTTTATAAATAGCAAACAGCCACGATATGGAAACGGTTAAATTCAGAACTGAAAATGTGTTGAAATAGAAATTTAATCAGTATAAAAGCTTTATTATACAGAAGTCTGAAGATCGTCTTCTTTGATTCATATTTCAATCGCTTCTTCTTTGTGTTTTTTTTTTCGGTCAATAAAAAAATTCGAGCACAAAAACTTACTCAGCATCGAAACCCCAACGAAAAATACTACCACATCTCTCTTCAGAATAAATAAACCAAAATACGCAGCCAATCCAAGTGTCAGTGCAATGCTCACAACACTAACTCCAATGCCAGTGACTTTCCAATCAAAGCACCTCTTCGATTTGAAAATGTCCATTTTGAGTGTTTTTTTTTTGTTATGTTTTCAACTGTGTTCGGAAGTTCCAGATGTGATTATGTCCAAGTACACTTGTCTTAGTTTGTGAACCGTTTACAACAGCAAGCGATGATAAGAAACTGTTGATGTTACATGCGTAATTAATGAGTATTTTTGATAAGAGGCTTAATTTTTCTTTGAACAAGATCCGTTGAATCACAATGAAATCATAGACTGGTTCACTTATTCAGGAATTTTTTTTTGTCTCGTTTATCTTTAGAACAACAAACGAAATCTCTTTTCAATTCGAAAAAATCCCGGGCAATATTGTGGTTTAGTAACCCATTTGACACTGTAAAGGTCAACCGTTGAAATGCGACAAATAAATCTAGAGCGACTGTTGTTTCGCTGTTCACCGACTCCGTGATACTGCACACGTAATGCGATCGGCTCAATGAAGTGCTGCTATTCTTGCTGTGTGTAGGTTGTTTATGTCACACACAGTCTCATTGCTGTTGCTTACATTCATTTGCATTCACAACGACACATAAAATCGCCGAGCAAAACATTTAAAAGCCAATTTGTCTCGATTTGTTTTTAAAGGCGGCATTTCCTTCAGTTAAAATGCGCGTGGATGTGTTTACTATCAGTTCGGTGTTTAAAACGAATAGAGGAAGAAGCATGCGATAAAGTGACTTTGTTGAAGCAACATTCACTCATGACGATAGACGCGCTCGTTTACTTTCGTTAATTTACTTGCGAGGAAAAAAAACTTCGGACCGTGGCACGCAAACCGAAACGAAATTACGAATAAGACAAACCAAAGAACAGAATAAACATGAACATAACGGCAGAACTATTGACGCATTTCGGATCACTCACTTGTCTGTATCGGACTTGTTTTTGCATCGGATTCACTGATTGAACTGACAATTTTCAGTGTAGAAAACATTTTTATTTAAATTCTTAACGAGAGTAAGTTAAATGCACTTGTGAACGGCTTATCATGGGCATTGAAATGATTCGAACCATATTGAAAAGCATTAAATACTCAACAAGTATTGGACATTTCTTGAGAAAAGAACTTCTATTTTTACCTAGCATCCGGAAGAGAAGGAAGAAATTCACATTGTTTTCATTTTGAATGGAACATCTGTTTTTATTTTAAACAATTGCCTACAATTTGAATTTAACTTCAATATGTTTCTTATGAAGAAAATAGTTTTTTTAATCCAATTGTCGTAAAATTTGTATTTTTTCTGCTTTTTTTTTATCGAATGTCATACATTTTTCTCATTACAATCAGTACGACGTTTCGATATTTCAAAACGTTTAAGATTCATTCAGATAATGTCATTTAACTTAGGTCATTTTTCCTATAACTTAAGTTAATCGTCAATTTTACGCTTTGCAACAGTCACAATTTGGTCCACAACCACACCTTTGCACTAGTCTATTTTCGTCTTTGTTTACGGATCGAGTTGCTAAAGATAGTTCTACATCAAACCGCTCTGCTTCGGGTTGGTTTCTTTTGAAACTCTCTTTGATCGGTTCATAGCTCCAAATAGCGATGAAATAAACGGCTAAACAAAATGCTGGAAAGATATCGAAAAAAATGAATATTGATACAAGTTTCATTTTTTTGTGAATGGAAACGAAAGGCGATTCAAGCCAAAATAATTAAAGATAAAAAAAAGAAAGCAAAGAAATGAAATGAAAAGAAATTGAAAGAATCAAACTGAAAACAAGAAAAAATTCCAAAGAAAAGTCAAGTTAAAAATGGAATTTTTGAATTTTTCTGATTTTTTCACATACCTGTCAGTGCAAAGATTAAATAGTCATGAAACAAGAAGGGTTGTCTTCCATCGACCATTCCGAATATTCCTTCGAGTATGACGAACAACATGAAACCGCCCCAAATTGTCAATATAAATCCCCACCAGATTAATGAGACTGAACGAGAAATTTATAAGAAAGACCTCAAATATTGAAGTTTAGAGAAATTTATAAGATTCTCACCACGCATCAAATTTTTCTTCTTCTATTTTTGCGAGAGAAAAGTGAAAAAAGAATTGAGATTAAACGTATCATTTAAGTGACTTTTTAGCTCACTGAAGTGAATCAATTGACCAAATTGGATATTATATAATATCATTCGAAATTCATGTACCTTGAATATCCCACGCAGCCAAACGATACTAGCTAGCAGATTCAAAACTGCGAAGAATAGAAAAATTGTGATTTTTTAATAATAGTTTTTCCCCTCGATAAATCCATGATCATAAATATACTGCCGGAATACCAAAAGACAGCCAATGACATCTCTAAACCAACTTATTGAATCATCGAATATTTCGAGCAACTTTTTTCATTCGTGTGTGACTTGAGTTGAATATAATCAACTTTACGGCGACACTAGCAGCTTCTCTGCACACACATCGTAGAAGAGAGTAAAAAAATCATAGTATTTTGGCAAATGCATCGAGTAACCATTGCAAAACATCAATACGTTTTGGCTAACGCGTAGTAACGGCCCACAGAGAAGCTGTTAGCGTCGTCGTAAAGTTGATTTTATTCTAGTAAAGCCACACACGTTTAAAAAGAGTGGCCGAAAAATTCAATGATTCAATGAGTTGGAATTGAGATGGCATTGACTGCTATGTGTCAAATGACTTACATTTGAAATGTATTGTGGCACTATCGCTATGGACATGATAACAGCTCAATGATGTTTTCAAGAAATGTAAATATCACTCGTTGAGCATGACTTACAAAATATGAACAGCGTAAAAATGAGAAAAACTTCGCCATCTATCAACAAGAACAAAGCAACGAAAAATGTTGCCAATCCAACATTTATTGCGATACCAATGTAACCAACTGTTACTCCGACAACTTTCCAATTTAAGCAGGCACTTAATCGATCCATTTTGAGTGCATCGATCTTTTTTCACAAAGCAAAACACGATTTAAAATGAGACAGATCAAACTTTTTCTTGTTACTTCGTTCTGTTCTATCTCTTCTAAAACTTTTGAATGTTATGAATGATTTGATGACGTCAAATTTTCAACTACTAAACTATCTAGAGAGCTAAAACTGAAGAAGATCCCAAAAAAGATTGAACAACAGAGTCAGAGTAGAAAAAACACTTCCATAGGATCACTGATTTCACAAAATTTTTCGATAATTGCATGGAACTTTGCAATTTCTAAGCGCAATCCGAGAAATCTGTTGTTTTTTTTCACGTATCGCACAAATGCTTTTTCAATACTTTTTTGTTTATCTCAATCTCAATCGAAAAACTGATTTTCTCGCATTTCAAACTTTAACGAAGCTATGTCACCGAAACTATTGAAAAAATTGACTTTAAAATCATTCAAAAGCAGACATTTTACTAGTCACAAGTTTCAAGCATTTAAACTGAACACTCTTTCTCCGTCAACAACTGGAAAAATACTACACGCAGCGTCATGAACTCTACCGTGACCACCGTTAATTCTGGTTCTTAATGTATGTTTAAGCGAGCCGCAAAATGCGACGCAGACGTTTTCAGAGCAAAAAATGCCCCTTCTCATTCTTTTACTTATTCCAAGTCTTCTTCGTATTCTCACTAACATTCTCTATCTTCTACGATATCAAGAGTAACCATACTCAGACGCGTCTCAACACAACAACCGATCAACGCCGGTACGTACGTTCATACGTTTGATATCGAAATAAAGAAATAGAATTAAAGCCAAAAGAAGTTGAGCGCACAAATTAGTATGCGTCTGCTGTTAACTGTTCATATCAAGTACTTTGCGGTAAGTGAGTGTGATAATGTGCAATGAACTAGATGAAATATTCACTTCGCCAGACAATGGTGCGGAAGAAGCAAACAAAGTAGAAAAATGAGAAGCACAAGAGGTTTTTAAGACATGCAAGACTACAGATATAGAAGTTTAAAGAAATTTTTAAGATTCTCACCACGCTTCACATCACCTAATGCTCATTTTTCAAGATGAATGCGTGATCTTTTTTGTTCATGTAATGTATGTGTAGTGTGAACACTGTGTACTCGCTTTGAACCATGTAATCTGAAGAATAGTTCCACAAGATACAAAAAGACTTTTTGGATTTTGATTCAATTTAGTGCCGCTTCAAACTCAAATGAGAATCTTTTAAATATAAAAATAAATTTATTTTGTTATTAAATTTCTTGATAAAAAAGATGATAAAAATTTTTTTATTAGAAGAATAGTGATAGTCATTGCTGTTGTTTTGTAATGGGAGAAATTGGTACGTATGATGAATTCTGAATTTATGAGCCTTTTAAAAATATGCATAAATAAATGTAAAATCGACGAATGGCTGAACATTTCTGTGAATAAAATGAAAAACTTAATATCTAAGCACAAGTCAATGAGATTCATTTACGGTACATTTTCATTTCTTTTCTCAGAGATTTTGATCAAATTGCACTTGGCATTTAATTCTTCAATTTCGGCAGGTGTCATCGTATACACAGCGTTCAATCGCATATTTTCCAAAATATCTCTTTTCATCGATCTGAAACACAATGCAGCGACGATAAGCAACGCAATGTTGAATGCTGAGAATAGAAAAAATTATGACCGAATTAATAAAAAGTGATATTTTATGATATTTTAAAAATGATAAAAACGTGCATATAAATACCTGTTGCATAAATGGCACCATATCGACGATGACCAGTGTTACTGAACTCAGGAATTGTTTTCCCATAAATGTAATATGCGAGAAAGCCTATCCAAAGGACCAACGAAGCTACCCAACAAGACAATGATGTCAAAATAGATTTTGATTTCACCTGAAAGTTGAGGATTTGAAGCGATTTTCAGTGAATACATCTTTGAAATTTCACTTGGATTTATAAATAACGGTACACATGGCTGTCATCGTGTGTAAAGGTGTAGATAAAAGCTTCTATTATACTATTAAAATCCAGTTTATTAAACTTTTTTTTTTATCAAATCGATACTAATTGATTTCATCGACGGATACACTGATTTGAAAATACTGTGCGACTGATCAAACCTTTTTCAAATCGTCCTTATCATAAAAATCAATTCTCTCACAGTAAATTTGATGAAATACTTGATCCATGGATTACCTTAGCAATTCCAAACACCCAAGTGCACGTAACGGTCAAATTCAAGCCTGTGATCGAAAACTGATATTTAGAACATTCTTTATTTGATAATATGAATAGAGTGAAATCAACTGAAATCCATGCATGAAACGTCTTTGTGATCGATTTGAGAAGAAAATATAACTCACCAGATATCAAAAATACAACGAAATAAAAAAATCCCGAATGTAAAGATTTAGGTAGTAATGAGAAGTACGATATTTGTCCAACTGTGTAGGCGGAAATCAGCCAAGAAACTAATAATGCGACGATATTCCAATCGAAATCAGCTTTTTGGGTACTTTCTTGATTAGTTCCCTTTATTGATTTATAACTCATTACGAAGAAGAAGTAAAAGACGACGAAAAACACTGCAAAATGCGAAAATAATGTCATCGAAATTAAATTAAACATAATTTTTGAACTCAACTTTTATGAATTTTTCACACACCTGTTAGCACATAAATGAAAACGTCTTCAAGTCGATATAAATTGCCGATTGATAATGCTATATCCTGTGAGATCACAACAAATATTGCATTAATCCAGAGGTATATTGGAATACCCCACGAATATAATGAAATTAGCATCAAGTGTGTTTTATTCTATCGAGCGACACATTTTTAAGAAGAAAAGAAAATAACACATTTTAATAAATTGAAGTGAATTGTGATGGTTTTGAAGAAATGATAATGTTGGAGAGGTAGTTAATGGTTTTGATTGAAAAAAGTAAAAATCACTCACTATATCAAGACCAAATACCCATAAAACAGCTGCGGCAACATCAGAGACTGAAAATTCAACAATTTTTTTGAATGGATTTATTTGGATTTAAATTTTTAACTCATTAAAGCTGCGATTTAATTCGAAGCCCTTTCAATCTTCTTCAATTGTCGGTGAAAACTTACAAAATATCAAAATTGGAATAAGTTTGATGGTTCCAATTCGCATGAGAATATACGCGAAAAACGCTACATGTCCCGTACTGAATGCTACTCCAAGGTAGCTCAAGAATTTTCTGCGTAGTTTGTGATTAAAGCAGCTATTCGAATGGCCGTTAGTCATTTTGATTGTCACTCTTTCAACACAACGATAAATATAGACGATAAATGTTTGTTGATTTCACAAGTTGAGCACGTTTTGATGAAACAATCTTGGGTCGAAGCCAAAAAATTATGCTCTCAATGTTTCATTCACAAATGAACACAATTTTATATAACACATGGAACGTGAAACGAGCAAAACACAACACTATTTTCAACTAGAACTGTTTTTGTGGCTGACTTTTTAACGCTTCTGGTGCTTCTTTAACGAATAATTATTCAACTATTAATCCGATTTAGGAATACGATAAATCATTTATTATAAATGCTTGTTAATTCAATGAAAATGACTATTTTTGTTCCAATTTTTGTATTGCTTATTCATTTAAGGCGTACAAATTAGCCTTTACACTTTGAGATAAACTAAAAAAATCGTCATTTTATTTTCGATATGAACTGAACAAATCAAAATTCATTTCGCTACTGACAAAGATAACACAATTTGAGTTACTTTCGCGCCACTGTGTTCTTTTTTCACGGCGCAATCTCCGCAAACTATTGACACCAAAGTTTTTTCTATGGTTGAGCCCCATGTTGTGTGTGTGTGTGTGTGCGCGCGGTTTTAGAATGTTTAAAATTATTTTTATCAATATTCGTATCCGTTAAGAATCAAGTATCCGGCATGATACTATACGATGCTGTGTGACACAGCTACACACTTTGATGTGCTTATAAAAAGGCACTTTACACAAGGCCATTCGAAGTAGATCATAAATTTTTACAGTTATTTCCACACAAAGCATTCCATTTCACCATAAATAGTCTAAAAATAAATGGAATCGTTATTTAATCATAACAGTATATATTTATTCGAGTTATATGGACGACATAAATCAATTTTAATTAATTCATTAAGATTCTTATTTATTGAACGGAAAATAATAACAAATAGTCTTCGATTCATAGATTTTATGAAGAAAAAAAATGGAATTTAAAATTAGCAACTTGTGTGGTATAAATGGCATTTTTGAGACATGTGGCTCAAGTTGATGACACGGTGCAAAATGTTTGATTACATTGACTTCAGTTGAGTCATGTAGAGCAATTTGTGTGGATTTGTATATAGTATATACCTTACAATATACAAGAGTTTGAATTGTCAGTCTAATCGTGTGTTGAGAAATTGAATTCACAACTTTATTCTAACTTTTTTTTTTATTAGAAGATATTTTTAGATTATTTTGTATCGAAAAAAAAATCAGATTCATAACGGTTTTGCTTATGGCGCTGGTAGCACTGCGAACTTGTTTTTTCGTTCAACATCAACCGACTGAAATGATACCTAGCGGATATGCTGGCCCTTTAAATTTTATCTCAAAATCCGCAATGGTCTTTTCTCAAGAAACAGTTCAGTACCAACAGCAGAACAAGTGTCTTAATCCTTTCGCTCACATTTTGTTCCAAAAACAGTAACCGATCCTCAATTGGTACCTGTACCATAATCCGACATCATTGTATTCCAAGAAAAAGGGCTAACGAAACAGTAAAAATGGTTGCATTGAAATGTAAATAAAAGCCGTAGCCAGCCAAGCAAAGGTATCAGTTGGTCTTGAGATATTGAACCGTAAACATCGTAAGAGCTATCACACAAGTTTGAACGATATTCCAGTGCAATCATCATTGTGTTTATTTTTTATATTAAAAAAGAAAAACTGAAAAAAGGTGAATCGAAAATGTCATCGATAATTTTCGCACAAAATACGACTCCCGAGGTGGAAAAAATCTTTAAACTGTTCCTTTCCAAAATTGACATCGAAATAGGTGCAACTTTGGAAAAAATTGCATCAGAAATGCAATTGCAAGAAATATCCTTGGACAAGGAATTCAACGAACGTTTCTTTTCGGCCACAATCGACCAGTAAGTATTTGAATAATTTTTTGTGATTTTTTTTCCGATTTGTTTCCAAAGTAATTTCGATTTTTCAGTTCTTTTTCTTTGCATCAAAAAACGACTTCCATTCAAATGCCTAATAATTTACAACTTTTTTTTCTATTTGCAGGGTTAAAGGCTCATTCAATGCATTTATGAGCAATTGTCGAGATCGTTCGAATTTAACAGTAACAGACGAATCGATTTTTGTGCCGATGAAATGCATTGTGAAAGCTTGTGATTCAACCGTAACTGAAATCACCAAGCCGAATAAAACACTTGTGCCAACTTCTATAGCTGGAAATTCACA